GCCGAGCTGTATCTCTTTTGTAGCCGGCTGCGCGGGTCATAGCCAAGCGGGATGCTGTATGTAGCCATAGAATGTGGAATTCCCTCTTTAAACACCGGTAGCATCGTCCCACCTGAAGGGCATTATCCGGCTTACAGACAGCAGTGCAGCCTGTAGACGAGCAGCTAGAATGTGATGCTGCGCCTTTAAATTTTAATTATGCAAAGTTTATTTCCTCTTTCTTGAGACAGTGTTTGAGGATGTGGATAGTTACCTTGAATGCCACTGGACAGAGCAGTGTAAAATCTGTACTGTATGGTATGTCATGAGGGACAGCTATAACACCAATGACTGCAGGTTGTCAGCATTAACACATGCAGCTTTCGATATTTCTTCTGCGATGATTTTTCAAAAAAATCCTCTCCTTATGATCTTCCTCGCTGTGTGGGTGAGAGTCCCCTGTACTCATGAAACAGCAAGTTTCACTCGAGATATATTAAGTACACTTTCCAGCCCTGGATTGGAGCGCTTGGACTGAATTTCATAGATGCGTTTTTGCATCATAAGAGGACATTTAGAGGAGAGCAGAGGGAGCACTGGGGAGGGAAAGTAAAAGGGGAAGAAGGAGAGCGAGAGGTTGAGGGTTGTTTGTAAGAGCTGATGTACATACACACTCCTCACCGAGGACATTTACGTAACTTTCAAGTCAAATGAGCAAGCAGCAGGCGGCAATTTACTGCACAAGCATATGCCTGCTCATGTATGCACTCACGCGAGACATCCTAGCTGACTAGAGTGTGAGTTCACCTGACATCCCAGTGTGAACATGCTGTTCCACAGAGATATCGACCACCAGGAGTCCAGAGACGGGCCGGGGATGAATTGTGGAATAGCATAGTCAGCGTCCAAAAATAACTAAGGTTGTTAATTTTTCAAGACAAACAGAACGTTTGTCAAAATCACAGAATATATTCAGTTTTTTAGTGAATTCCAGGTTAGCAATCCCCCCCCCAGGAAATAAATTTGCCCTTTAGTGTCCTTGCGCGATCAAAGGCAAACATCCCCTTAAGATGTGACCACATTCACACACTCCACTGGTCACAGAGGGAGGATTAGTCGTCCTCAGCTACATGACTATACAGGATGATGGATGGGGACACAGAGCTTTCCTGAGGAAGGTATGAGACAATTCTAATTCACAATATGGCTTATTTAAAGATGGTTGTACTAATTACCTATTGTGTATATGTTCCCAGATATGGCATTGTGTACCACGCTGTACAATTTAACATACTGTCCCATCCTAACTGGTTATCTTTTCTTTCAGGAAAGGATTGGTCAGAGCTTCTCCTGTCCGAAGCCTGTGTAACAACTCTTCAGCCGGCAATCCCTCTCCCTGGGGATCACAAGGACGCCTCCTAAGCTCAGCCCATTCTTCAGCCAGCCACACAGAGAGTAGGGACTGAGGCCGGGCGCTGTCGAAATGGGGCAAAACAAAGGGATGTACATTAAAGAAGCCAAGCGAGGAGAGTGCTTCTGAACGCCATGCTTGTTCTTCAAAAAGAGAGGAGCTGTGGGAAACTCTAAGTGTAAAACCCAAAGCTCTGAGCGCAGACTTACACAATATGACCTGCTGCTTTTCCACACATGGTGACAGAGGCTGAAGTTGGCCACACATTTCTCTGTGTGTGTGCAAGTGTTTCACACTGTGTTGAGGAGTATTTAACTTCAGCGGGGAGGGTCTGGTCTCCTCTCCAGTCCAGAGGGAGGTTCTAGTGCTTTGTGTTTCCGGATGCAGAACATCCTCGATCAAAACTTAGACATGGCCACGGCTCTACTCGCCGGTGAGAAGCTGAAGGAGCTGATCCTGCCGGGTTCCTCTCAGGATGAGAGGGGCGGGCTGCTGGCCGGCCTCATGGTGCAGCTCAAACTGGAGTTGCCCTTTGATCGGGTTGTCACTATAGGGACGGTCATCATCCCCATCCTGCTGGTCACCCTCGTCTTCACGAGGAACTTTGCAGGTGAGACTTCTGCCACTAGAGGGGGTTCATTGCAACAGTAAACTGTCAAAGTGGCAGCAGCAACTGTATATTTCGAGATAGCCATGCAATGCTTTTGTGTCTTCTGTCACAGACAGTGATAAAACGAGATGTAAGCAGATTAGGCAAGGAAGGAAAAGGAGCATTTACAAGTGCATCACAGGAGCAGACAGAGAAAGCTAGAGAGGGCTAGAAAGGCTGGAGATAGGAGGGGTTAGAGGGCCGGCTGTGATGGGAGAGACGTTAGTTCACTGCTGAGTCAGGCTCTCTGCATAGCAGCAATAACCATCTGGGACTGAGCGTTTGAATCCAGCAGGAGAAAAAAAAAGTGGGTGTTTAGACAAGTTCTTCAGTGTTTCCTCACTACCGTGTTTTATTATGACATTTAGGGCTTTGCCCAACAAATTTTGAATGACTCAGCATCCTGCCCTCTGTGACTGGGACAAACTAATATCATTGCACATATTGTCTCGATAACCAGGAACATAAAAGAATACTGGCTGACTTTTCAAAATTACTTTTTCTAATAGTTTTCAGTACAAATGATAAGTTTATTTAGATAGCAAGTGTATCCTTTGTAAGTTCAAAAGATTAAAGTAGACCTGCTGCAGCCCTGAACCAGATAGAACTGATAGAGAACAACTTTGACAATGAAGTGCTCTCACTTCCTCTATCTGAGCCAGACAGACCATCATTTCAAAAAGTGTTATCAGAGACACACAGCACTTTGGGCTGAACAGATGAATATACAAGATTCTCTGAGATACAATGTTGATAAAAAAAAATAATGAAACAGATCACACAGATGAAAAACATTTGCTAGGAAATGTGAATGTGTTGCATTGAACACAAAATCCCCATTTTAACTATTATCTTAAGCACTGTGAAATGCAGGCGAGCACTGGCGTAAACTCTGTTTTAAACATCTGTTGCACTATGCAGAGTTACTGAATGGTTACATTTTGACCTACAGTATTCAGCGTAGTTCTGTGTATGCAGTTTCACAGTACAATGGATGATTGCAACAGATATTTCTGGTATGTGGTCCTCCTTTCACTTTCAAATAAGTGCTGTTGATCAAATTGTTAAACTGGGGGATTTCTTTCAACCCTTCTGTTTGTCTGACCTCATCTGTTTTCATCTTGCCAGATCTTGCCAATAAAACGTCATAATTGATAGGAGTGATGAGTGAAATTCTGAAACTAAGACCCAGGATGTAGCATTGTAGCATTCTTCAGTCAGATAATATACTCAATTTATATTATGAGCTACAATCATCCAAATGTTAAAGTAATGTTTGGGCTGACTCTTTCTATCTGTACTTTCCTCAGAGGAGTCCATATACTGTTACACACCACACAACTTCACCAGAGACCAGGCTCTATATGCAAGAGGCTACTGCTGGACGGAGCTGCGGGATGCTGTGCCTGGTGTGGAGTCTCATCTTTGGCCTTCACTCTTTGAACACAAGTTCCTGCCCTATGCCCTGCTGGCCTTCGCTGGAATCATGTACATTCCTGCTTTGGCCTGGGAGTTCCTTGCCTCTACGCGGCTCACTTCAGAGCTCAATTTCCTGCTTCAAGAGATTGATAACTGCTATCATCGAGCCGCTGAGGGCCGAGCCCCAAAGATCGAGAAGCAGATCCAGTCCAAAGGACCTGGCATAACTGAGCGAGAGAGGAGGGAGATCATCGAGAACGCAGAGAAGGAGAAAAGCCCCGAGCAGAACCTGTTCGAGAAATATTTGGAGAGACGGGGCGAAAGTAACTTTCTGGCTAAGCTATACCTGGGACGCCACCTGGCTATTATCTGCCTCAGTTCCATCCCCATTTCCTACCTGAGCGCCTACTATGCCCGCCAAAGGCAGAATGAGTTCACCTGTGCGCTGGGTGAGCCGCCAGACGTTAGCAGCTACTACGAGCTGAAGCTCAGGGTCAACTGTAAGCTGCCTGCTGTGCAGCTGCAGCGCATCATGGCTGCAGTAGATATCTCTCTGCTCTGCACCATGAATCTCATCATCCTGGTTAATTTGCTGCACCTGTTTGTGGTGCGCAAGTCCAACTTTGTATTTGACAAACTGCATAAAGTGGGTATTAAAACACGGCGCCGCTGGCAGAAGTCTCAGTTCTGCGACATCAACATCCTGGCCATGTTCTGCAATGAGAACAGGGACCACATCAAGTCGCTCAACCGGCTGGACTTCATCACCAATGAGAGTGACCTCATGTATGACAATGTAGTCAGGCAGCTGTTGGCTGCGCTCGCACAGTCCAATCATGACGCTACACCCACTGTGAGGGACTCTGGGATACAAACACTCGATCCTAACATGGACCCCTCTGAATTTGGAGTGGGAGAGATGGCCGGGGAGCCGCTGGTCATCAAACGGCCCCGCAAAAAGATGAAATGGATCTCGGGCTCAAATCCTCTTCCTCAGTCGTTCAAGGTAAGGCCTGAGTTGCAATTTATCAACATTTATTCAGCATTCAATGCTAGCAGAGGACAAAACATTCTACTGTGCTCTTGAAACTACAAGAACTTGTTAACTGCAGCACAGTAGTTCATATGAACATGGACTTCCATAAAGGCCTCTTTCTCTATAGAGGCAAAGGAAGTGGCCCTCTACTGAAGTTTAAGCTGTGACATATTGACCTGTATTTGCATTTTTTCTGTCCTTCGTAAAGGAACCTCTTACCCTGACACGTCTAGAAAATAACACCAAGCCTGAAAAACCCAAACCAGTCAGAAGAAAGACAGTGGCAGACAGCTTCATTGCACCACTTCTGGATACCAAGAGCACACAATATCCTGCAATAAAAGGTATCTAGTGCTATAAATAGTAAGTCTGTGAAAATGTTTATTTAAAGCCATGCTCATCAAAATTCCTATATTAGCAATGGATCCCGTGAAAGGGATTGCTCGTAGTGACACACCCACAGACAGCTATCATCAAACTCTGCAGTTCCTCTCAGTTTTAACGAACTTTAAAACCAAAACAATTTGCGTCTTTCAGATATTTGCTGTTGGTTTTACGGCCCACAACTCAGCTTTCAGCTTTCTGTGTTGTTTCCAGATGCACGCTTTTTTGGATGACATGCTTTTTTTCTGTTTTGTTCTCCTTTTAAGTCAGACTGTTCATTTTGAATCGTAGATTTGAGTGGGATGGAGAAAAAGCACACTCGCAACTTCTCTCTGGACGTCCACCCGTACATGCTGACCTTTCGTAAGCCCAAGGTGGAGGCCACAACCGCGGAGCCTCTTCCCTCAGAGCACAACATGGATACAGTATACCTTAAAGGCACACACACTATTGTTCACGTGTCTGGTGCCATTACAGGTAAGCCTGATCTCTCCTTCACAGTTGCTTTTTCTGGTTCAGGGTTGAATTCATCACATTTTACTGGTCAAATATTAAAGGAATTAGTTTGCAGCTCCCCATCTCATCTAGTTGCACCTTGCATATGCCTGCAACCACAGCCTGGTCCAGACAATGGGTATGATATTTGTGACATGTTGTTAAAATGCGCTGACCCTTGAGAGTATGAGTATAGATGTTGTTGTTTTTTTAAAAGGGTTGAACTGCCTATACTTTTATGTTTTCACTTGACAATTCGATGATCTCCTCTACTTTCCTTCTTGTCGCTTCAGAAACGAAGGTTTGCTCTCCAGAATCGACCAACACTGCCTTTGCTACGATGACACTACCCACCACAACTTACGTAAATGGCGTGAGCCCGAACCCTCCCTCCAGCGAGGACCCCCTCAGTCCCAAGTCCTCTCCTCCTCTTCCTCCTCTTCCTCCTCTTCCTCCTCCATCTCCTCCAAGGGAGCCTCCCACCCAAATGGAAAACCCTGAGTGCGACCCACCACCCCTTACTAGAGCCCCTACACACCAGCTGCTGAGTATACATCATACTCTCTTTGAGGAAGAAGAGGATGAAGAGCACCGTAGGGACAGACTGGCAGAGAGACCCGGGGAGCTCATCGCTGCTGGGGAATGTTGAAGGAGGAGAAGAAGAGGGACACTTACACCACACTCTGCACACATGACCACCATGTCAATCACAGCTATCAACAGCCACCTCTAGTCTTTAACTCACACACTTCTGTGATGGGTGGATTGGGCCGTGAGGAAATGACATGGAACCCTCGTCGTAAAAGCAAGCGGGCTCAACTTTTTAGATAGGAAAATTACTCAGTGAGGATAAGACAAACGTTTGTGTGTTTGATAATGTTGACCAGAGTATTGCTGTAGGTTACGATGTCACGTTGATGCCTCAGGATGACTGTGTACAGCTAAACAGCCTCCAATGAAACCAGCAGTGATTCAACAGGGTGCTACAGTGCAGGGTCAAACAGCTATAATAAAAAAGGCTTAAAATGAAAGGATGAGAGATGAATGAGCGTTCTGAAAAGAATAAAAAGATACACACTTTACAGATGCATATCTGCAAAGAAGACTGCATTATAGCTTCAAGCAAAAATGTATTTCAAACACATATGATAGCGCTTAGTCCCTTTATCCCAATAGCCAAGTAGAAAGGTAGCTCACGCAATACAGTTGAGATCTGCACAATTAATATGCAAAAGATCACAATATATTTGTGGCAATAATGTATGCGCTTGCAGCATCATATTTCACAGAACGCTATACGTGTATAGACACTGTATATGATGTGTTTGTGGGGTGTTACAAACAAATATAGCACACGTTTCATGGCTTTGACATTTCCATTTCACCATTGATTAGGAACGTGTATCAGATCTTGACTCGACTATTTGCACGTCATTAATAACAGGTAAATTGGCATATTATATAAAGGAGCAGCAGAAGAACAGAAGGTGGGCTGTGAGGTGACGTGCAACTACAATATTGCTCAGAGAAACTGACGGATTTGTCCAACAGGTACCAGATATCTGAGACAGAAATGCAGCTCTAATATGATGAACGGAGCTGGACTCAGAGTATGTGACATTTTGTGTTCTGCTGTGATGTGAAGTGAATGAAGTGATGAGAAGATGTTAAATCGTGCCTCACTGGAAGGTTTATTACATGATGAGTAAGCTTTTCATAGCCATCTGCGACACAATCTCAACTTCTTTCGGTAGTTCTGTCTTGTCTCACAATGTGCCAATATCTGCTCTAAGAAGGAACTAATAGTTAGAATAGTTGGTCTGTTATTTGTAGTAGAAACCGAGCCTATAAGGTATGTCAGCACTTTTCACAGGGAAAGAGTGGACACGGGGATGGGGGTCTACCACAACCTCTCCATACACATTTCTTGCAGCTGCATACACGATTACAGCAATTTCATTGAAGGAACTGCGTGCACTGACATACATCAATATGACATATACTGTAGAAGACATTAGTACTGTGGTTCAGGGGCTTACCTACATGATCGGTAGACCTATGCATACTATACTCGTCTTTTTTTCTGGGGCATTCAGTAAACATACACTTTTTTCCCATTACACCAATTATCTTCGAGTGGGGATATCAAATGATCCACCTCATTGTCACGACACAGGTTGGCACAAACTCTCCTTGTTGGACTACTCAAGCACACTAAATGCATCCAAAAGCACTTTAAGACTTGTAGCACGAGTGCGTGTGAGAGCATGTTATATGTCGAAACACAACTCTGCTTATAACCGATTTTCTGTGTAGATTTGAACATTGAGACAGTAAAGGACGTACATCTGTGACAGTCTAGTGGAAACGTGGAGAAAAGAGTCCAGACTTTGATTGTACTGTGTGAAATGTTATAACGGAAAGTGATTAAAAACATTTTCACTTTAAAAATAAATGTACGTGTCCCAGCAATCGTGGACTACATGTACCAGAATGCACTGCGGCTGTCAGATTCAGCCGAGCACTGTAATGCTACTGCTGTACTGGCGTGGAGTACACTGACACACGGGCAGGCTTGCTCAGTAAGTTGTGCATATTTGTTTTTAGACAACTATTGTGTATGTTACCAAACATATTGTACCTGATAATGGCGGCATTTGTTGTCGTAAAACCGTTTCAACGGGTATGATTTGACGACATTCTTACCGGATTTGCTAGCTTACATTAGCTTGAATTAGCTGTTATCATCATCCGGTAGCTAGCTCAGACCAATGAGTCCACAGGAAGTGCTCAGTGTTCAGCAGTGCTGTACCTTGAAGGTAACGTTAGCTAGTTTGTAAACCGGCCCTGGCAAGTTACTTCTTATTCAGTTGTGCAAAACTCTTGTGTTGCTAACATTTAGTCGTAATAATGGCCTCGTCGGAGATATCGTTCCTCTTCGATTTTACAGTTAATAAATGAGTGACAGTCGCTACTTTTCCCATGAACGTTGTGGTGTCACAATTGTTTGCTACGTTTAGACCTCACACGTAAAGCAACGTCAGCAGTCAGTAACGCTGCACTACAGCTAGCTGTGTCCGTGAACGTCTCACTGTAACACATGTCTGCGTCCTGCTCTCTGTCACACGCAGCTTTCAGTGCTTCAAACATGGATCAAGACAACAATTCAGAGGTTTGTAACCCTTACAATACGTTATCAAACATTGCCATTTGAACTAGCCCTGAGTATTTACATAACTATGTGAAATCAGCCCGCTTTTCTCAAACTGGCTCGGTTTGGAAAGGAATATCTCTTAATCGTGCACTGATGTAAATATTGCCCCTGTCAAAGATATAGTTTGGTGTTTTTATGTCTGACAGGATGAGTCAGTCGGCCCATCGGAGGACCCATCAGAAGAGGAACTGCCTTGTGTACCTGCAGGGATCTGTACGTGTTTTTAATTACAGTGTGTATGCTGAAAGATAGTGTGATACCTCTTTGGTTGTTTGGCATGTCATGTCGCTGTTATGCAAAAGTTCAAGTCATTGCAGCGGCCTTTTTTATTATATAATCACATAATAATTATAATTTCAGATCCAACTGAATGTGCTAATGATTTTAATTTAGATAAATGTCTGTTGAATCACTATCTATCGCAGAATGAGGTAACACAAAGGTGATTGATCCAACATCAACTACAGACAATGAAACTTAAAAAACAAGTGAACGTGAGAACCTAAATAAATAGGGCGGCCGATTGTTTCTATTTTCACATTGTGGTTTCTCGTGATCGCCAGTAAGTGATCTGAGCTTTGAACTTTTACGTTTTTAAGTAGCAGAGTTAAAGTTAAGTGATTATTTATAAAGGACTGTGGACATTTAATTCAAATTAACTAAATATTAAAAACTTAATAGCAATTTAAATGTTTCTATTCAAACGTCGGCTCCCTTTTTAAAAGTGTGCGTCATTGCTTGGTGCGACAATATACCAGCTTTTAACGGAACATGATGCTCAAATCATGTCCGACCATAACAAGGGCTGTACCTAATAGTTTGAAGCTTCATTCGTAACATTGACATTCAAATTGAATTATTATTAATAACTTTCAGAAACTCTCTTCCCCTTTCTCTGTCACTGTCGCTGTGTCACTGTCCCTCCCAAAAGTCAAAATCTATTTTATAAAAACAGATGTAATCATTTTCATAATTCACAACATGTTTTCATGCTTAGTGCAGGGAGGCTCGCACCTGTTTTAACAGGAAAGTCTAGCAGCAATCTTACAGCACCATAAATTACATTTATATAACCACAATAACAAAAAAAACATATTTTCGTCTTTTCTATCAGGTTGATAACGTCAGTAAATATAATGTAAGACATTCAAAGCTAAATTCAAAAGCCACAACAGAAGCTTCTGATATAAAATATTAAAAAAAGACATTTGACACAACCATATCCATGCTTTAACTACTCTTATGGAGCGCAGAGATAAGTTTTGATGTGCAGGCATATAGAGAACGGAGATGCGGGGCTCAGCGGGCGAACGTGCTGCTCCACCAGAAACATCTCTAAATGCACAGTAGGGCGCTGATTCTAGAGATTATTTGATAACATCATACTTCTGATGATGGTAAGTTAGTTAAGATTGCCTTAATATCAAATATCAGCTTAGGAAAAACCAATCATCGCTCATATCGTCAGTTGTCTATATTCAGCTACGGCTTAAGTGCGGCCAAATAGTTCAACTTGTAACTAAGTAAAATATACTGTTCAAAGTTGCTTAAAAATGACAAAATATCCTTGTTTTTAATATTTCATAGTTCTTACAGAAAGACATCAAGCACTATAGTCGTCCTGCTGTGTTTGTGTGCCCCTTTAATAACTGTCTCTGTTGTTCCCGTGTAGCGGACGGTGACGCAATGGAGCTGCTTTGGCAGTTGCGATCCCAGCGCCGCCAGTCGTCCCCTGAGCTCCCAGAGACGGTGACCCGTCTCACTGCCCCTGATGGCAGCCTCCTGTACCTGGTGGGCACCGCCCACTTCAGTGACAGCAGCAAGCAGGACGTGGCCACGGTGAGCCAAAGACAATTTACAACAGGACTTGTACAGCAGACTCTGCCACTTACACCCTCTTTAAAATGTGAAATGCTGTGAAATAGTCGAGTAACTCTCTGAATGTGGAGAAGCGCTGTAGAGTAGCACCTTTTGAAGATTAGTTAGCACCATCTGTATATGCTGTCAGTACAAGATTGGCATTCCTCAGTATAATCCTGTCTTTTCTTCCACATTGATGACATTGGTTTATTTTCTCTTCACTTCCTTCCTCACTGCTCATTTGCCATTTCTCTCTTCCTTACCCTCTTGTGCTTTCTTATTCTGTGTCTGTCACTTGTCTCACATACCCACACAGATGATCCGCGCTGTGCAGCCAGACGTTGTGGTGGTGGAGCTGTGCCAGTACAGGGTGTCGATGCTGAAGATGGACGAGATTACACTGTTGAGGGAAGCCAAAGACATCAACCTGGATAAGGTTCAGCAGGCCATTAAACAGGTCAGGCTTTCAGGATGATGGGAATTACCAATGTGTGAAAAACAGCGAGAGCAAATACAGCTAAGTAATGGTGTTGTTTTGATATTTCTTTCTCTGAATGCTTATTTTGTTTCTGTCCTCTGTGTTTGTTAGAATGGGCTGATGTCTGGCCTCATGCAGATTCTCCTGCTCAAAGTTTCAGCTCACATCACAGAGCAACTGGGCATGGCTCCTGGAGGAGAGTTTAGGGAGGCCTTCAAAGAGGTAAATCACACACGAAACTAACATTGTGCTTGCAAGATTCAAGTCAGTAGCATAGCGTGCGGTTGACAGACAGTAAATATAATCTGACAGTGTGTTAGACAAAGAGCCACGTCACTGTTCCCTAACCACTATCAGTATTTTCACAAACGCATGAGAGGCCGCAGCCCGACGTAGCTAGTTGGAAAGCGAATGGCATGTGAGACGATCGCTTCTATGTGTCGTTATGTTCCAGCGTATTAATTTAAAGCGGTGAACAGACACTTTAACTGGAACTGCTTAGCTGCTGTCCGTTATCAGTAATTAATAGACACCCTGCAGCCAATCAGAGTCAAGTCTTCACCCAAACCATGTATGGATGCTGGATATAAGTTTCAGTTTATTTCATTCTGTTTTTAAATTATTATTTTTCTTTCCACACAGGCTGGACAAGTGCCGTTCTGTAAGTTTCACCTTGGGGACCGGCCCATCCCTGTGACGTTCAAGCGAGCCATTGCAGCTCTCAGTCTGTGGCAGAAGGCCCGTCTGGCGTGGGGTCTTTGCTTTTTGTCGGATCCAATCAGGTACAAGTTCACCGTCGGCCCTTTTCGTCACACCACACTGTGTCGTCAGACTGTCTCTCTCAATATCTACACACCACATGATCGACAAATCTTACTTGAAGTTTTTTGCATAAAGTGATGTGTCCATCTTTTTAACATCTATTAGATTGAACCTGTTACATTCTCTGATGTGTAAAACGGAGAGCGCTTCAAGAACATAAATGCAAACTGTAATGGGATTTTGAAAGAAATAGTACAGACTTCATTCGGCCCATTTTACTGTTTGTTTGTTCCTCATTCTGTACTTAATACTGTGTGAAGAGAAAGAAATGTCTTCCCCTTTCCTGTGTGGCGACCAACAACTCTGTTGGACCGTTTGTCGTGTTTTCAGTAAAGAAGACGTAGAGAAGTGCAAACAGAAGGACCTGCTGGAACAGACCATGTCGGAGATGATCGGCGAGTTCCCCGCTCTCCACCAGACCATCGTGGCTGAAAGAGACATCTACCTCACGCACACGCTCCGCCAGGCTACGCGCTGTGTGGAGGCCCCCCGTACTGCTCAGAGTGCGTATACAACTGTTCAATAAGCTCGCAATCACAGTGTTCTTATTTGTAGATTTTCAGCTTTCTAATCCTGTCTGTATGTGCGTACAGTTGTCTTACTTATGCATCGCTCATTAGAGTTGAACATTTAAATTCTTTGAGTGTTATTGTTCTTTTTAAATGTATCGTTAGAATTGTTTCTGAGCTTGATAAAGTTTCTTCCCCCCCCCCCCCTAACAAGAAATGTTATGTCATCAAATTTGTTCCACAATTCTTGCGTAATTTACCAACCGGTAATGACAGCATGGTTTGAGTGCTACAGAGGCTGATAATGAAAATGCTGAGTCATATTGTGTTTAAAAAGGGTGTACATTTTGAACTTTGTTTCACAGAAACAGTGGGACATTTTTTCGCTGTTTTACTGAGCTTAAAAACAAATGTTTGCATTCATGGTGAGACCACAGGAATTCATGCTCAGCAGTGCGTTTTGTCAGGATAATTTATGCATCGTCATTTATACTGAAATCCATCCCTAAAGCATTGGATGATTCATTTCTCAGTCGAGAGATGACCCGTGGTTTCATCAGTGTTGAAGAGAAATATAAAGAATATGTGGTTTATGTAACCGAATATTTCCTTTATAGAAGTGCCTGCTGTGGTGGTGGGAGTCGTCGGGATGGGTCACATCCCCGGCATAGAGAGAAACTGGGAGAAGCAGCTCAACATAAATGAAATCATGAGGTGAGTTCAGGAAACATTCTTTAACTGTGTCTGGATGATCTCACAGCTGCTCAGTGTGTCTGTCTGTCTCTCCCTCAGTGTTGCACCCCCCTCCCGTTTTGGCTGGGTGTTGCGCACGGTCATAAAGGGCGTCGTGGCGGGAGTGCTGGGATATGCCTGCTACCGTGCTGGAGGGACTTTGGGTCGAGCCCTCCTGTCTTCACCTACAGTCCTATCTTTACTGGAGACTCTGCAGCCACCCGCTGCTCTCAGCCAACAGTGACATGACCTCTGACCTTTTGAGACGATGCATTTTTCACCAATAGCCTTAAAAAACAGGAGGTGGGGCTGGAGGAACGGTTTCACCAGCACACACTATGAACTAACAAGGATTTCAGGGGGGTCAAGAGCCTCCCACCCCGCATATGATGTCCCTGTAGACGCAGCAGGGCCGTACTGCCAAAGAAACCGTGACAGTACTCTTCGCTTTCTTCCACATTTTGTGCGAATCCTGCATTTTGTAAGGTCTACAAATGCCAATAATTTCTTTTGAATAGATTTACAATCCCCCCATCGTACCTTTTTTAATGATTTAATTTTAATTTGACAAGTATCATCAGAATCATCTTCAGTCACGTGCCCTGATGCGACTGAACCATTTTCCAAGAGGCACGCTTTTCTAACGCTGTCTCTTTATTCCTTCCTCCTCTCTGGTGCCTGACAGCAATTTTGGTAATTAGCCCATTTCAAGTCCAGCACTTTATAACGGAGTCTTGTACTGTACATGCAGCTTATGGATGGGGAGACGAAGGTACAATGTCAAGTCAGTCACTATACTCATAAATACAATCTAGGAGTAAGCTTGGTGCATAGAGTGACCATCATGGTGTGAGATAAATGTAAAATAAATCATCTTCTTAATTCTTGAAAAATCTACTATTTGAAATAAGACACAAGCATTCCCCGTGTGCACGGTGCTGTCCACGTCAACAGACAAGTGCCTCATGTTGCAGTAGGAAGGAATGATGAAAGGGAACGGAAAAAATAAGTCTGTGCATCTTACACATACTACAACCAAATGGTCAATGCAATTTTCTAGTATTCTGTCTTTATATAGTTATGATGGACCTTTTTTATATATAAATACAGTTCCCCTTAAAATAGCCCGTCTACTTTGTGTTGGCTTCCGGTGAGAAGACGCCATAGCCCCTTCATTTTATGATCGTTCATACTTTCAACAGGACGATGCAGGACGGGCTTAATTAAGTGTGCCTCAGGATGAGCAAAGCATTCGTCTTGTAATTTGTATATTTGATTGTACCTCCAGTATAAAGCAGCCTCACAGATTGGCTTGAAGTGGCTCCATCTGTGAGTAAGTTGTTCATACTTGAACCAAAAATATGCATGTTGTACAGAAAGACATCTCCTGAGAACATCTGTCATTCAGCGCACCAGCTGTTTGTACTTTTATGATGTGTGCATTATCACTTGCCAGTTGGATTGTTGAATGAAATAGATGATAGAAATGAAATTGGTTTGTTTTCCTTCTCATTGAGTATTGAACTTGACTGTAATGATTTCTCAGTGGAACTTTGTTATGGACTTGTTTTGATTACTGTGAAAGAAATGGACAGTTTAGGTTGGTGAGTTTGGAGGTAAAGCCTTACACTGCTATCACTGCTGCCTTTGACCCTCAGATTACCAACACTGACCTGTATTCATAGTACAGAGCTTCTTATTGCACGTCTAAAAAAAAAAAAAAAAAGAAACCAGTAAGACATGCCTGGAGCTTTAAGTGGAAGATGACCCAACACATCAAATCTTCTGAACAAAGCATTAACAAGGTTGCAAGGGCATGAACCAACATATTTTCCAAGCATTCCTAATATTTTCTTTTAAGTGATTTTATGTACAGTACTGGAATTATTTAGATGTATTTAAAAGAGCTATGACAGTAGATCATGTGCTGTCTTTCGTTTGTGAAATGGTCCAATGGACTCGTATGGGACTTGAGTAAAAGGAGCATTGCTCCACATGATTAAGTCATCTACACATTAAACTAACTCAGATAAACTGTCTTCCAATTGATTAATCAGTTATCTTGCTTTAGAGATGAGGATATTGGGAACAGATGTAGTCATGACTCTGTCCCTCAGCCGTATAATACATTCAAACGTTGTGTCTGTGTCCGTCCCCACATTATGTCCAAAGGTTTGTTCTATTGTATGTTGGAGAATTGCCAAGAGAAAACTGTATGAATGTGTCCTTGTGTGGTATTGTCATTGTTACCAAATTCATTCTGTAATGAATTATGAAACAGTTTTCAGTAAAGATAAACTATTTACCTCAAGAGTGTTGCTTTTTTTTTTTTTTAAAGAACCTGTTGCATTAACTGCCAAGATTTGAATGCAGTCAGTGATGAATACATTTCCTGGAGTCCAGTTATTTCATTTTATTAAAATGCTGTATGTTGCTGTATGTTTTGGTTGATTTTAGATAAGATAGAACTTTATTAATCCTGAAGGAAAACTTTGTGATGGAGATTGATCAATTGATCAAGAAACAATTGAGGAAAAATATATACGTATATAAACAATAGAGTAAGTATTAAGTGTACAGCAATAATAAGAGTAAGATGAATTTAGTAAAATAAACTAAAATAGGAAAAAGTAAATTAGAACAACATAAGAATAGAAACAAGAGTAAAAAGTATAAGAAGAAACACTAACACCAGTGGCTAAGAAAACTAACATGATATAAAGAATGGAAACATTGTACATTATGTGATGTGATATTTATTCAAGTAATAACGATAACAATATGATCTCAACCTTGTTAACTTAGCTTACATTGACTTTAGTGTCGGCCCAAATGGTTCCGTGTTCAGTGCGTGTGTCCGGACAAATAAGGATGTAACACAGTCTGTCTCGCAAACTTCCGCTAAAATCAGCAGGATTATGAAAGCATGACTTGGGCCTACATTGTAACTGCGCCAATGAACACAAACAGCCAAACAAGCAGACAGATGGCCCTGTTTGGATGGCTTATTTAGGACCTCGGCTCGCACCGTCACGCATCTTTGTCCCCGGTGTGTCCGCCTTCAGACTCCTCGGTACGGTCGGAATGGCCGACATGGGTCTGGCGATGAGCCGTTCCCCGCTGGAGCAGCTTGACTTCGACAACGTTGCCCTCAAGAAACTCCCTATGGACTCGTCCGAGGAGCCGGGGGTGCGTCAGGTGAAAGGAGCGTGCTTCTCCCGGGTGAAGCCACAGCCGCTGACCAAGCCCCGGTTCGTGGCTGTGTCACACGAAGCCCTGGCGCTGCTGGGGCTCAGCGGAGAGGAGGTCATGAACGATCCGCTCGGGCCGGAGTACCTCAGCGGATCCAGAGTCATGCCTGGATCCCAGCCCGCTGCTCACTGCTACTGCGGACACCAGTTCGGACAGTTCGCCGGGCAGCTGGGCGACGGGGCGGCCTGCTACCTGGGGGAGGTGAAGGTGCCAGCCGGCCAAGATCCCGACCTGCTGCGGGAAAACCCGAGCGGTCGGTGGGAGATTCAGGTGAAAGGAGCTGGGTTGACTCCTTATTCCAGGTACAAGGGTTTGTTGTTTCTGTAGTTTTAGCAGGATTCATTTTCTTATACTCAGAGATGTGAAACCATGGAGAAATACTTTGATTCCCTTCTTTTTTTAAAGCTATAAGCCTACAGATCATTTGAAATAGTATAATAATATCTGCAACTTAATTCTATCTGGATACTGTTCTTTATGATGTTATTCTGTCCTCCATAGACAAGCTGATGGCCGTAAGGTCCTGCGCTCCAGCATAAGAGAGTTCCTGTGCAGCGAGGTGATGTACTTCCTGGGTGTTCCCACCACCAGAGCCGGCTCCGTAGTGACCTCTGACAGCCGGGTCATACGAGACGTCTACTACAGCAGGAATCCTCTCTATGAGAGATGCTCGGTGGTCGTCCGTATTGCCCCCACCTTCCTCAGGTGAGGGCCGATTGTACCCCACTGTCATCTACCGTGGACGTGTGAGCTCCTCGAGATGTACATGTGACAGTTGTTTTGTCTCAGTTGTGCGCTCTCTGTGCAGGTTCGGATCCTTTGAGATCTTCAAGCGGGCCGACGAGCACACGGGCTGCCAGGGTCCCAGCTATGGACGGGATGAGATCCGAGGTCAGATGATGGATTACGTCATAGAGACGTTTTACCCGGACATCCAGCGGAATCACCCAGAGAGGGTGGAGAGGAACGTGGCTTTCTTCAGAGAGGTCAGGGCACATGAGTCGCACAACATACAAATCTCAGCCGGTGAAAACGGCTCTCGAGTAACGACTGTTAGGCTTACACGTTTTCCTACGTGTACTCAAATCGGCAGGTAACAGATTCAAGGTCTGACGTTACAGGTCGGAGCCAAGAACATTTGGATCCTCTTACCCTGTTAAGCTGACTGCCTGTGCTGAGTCACTGGGACATCGACTCAATATGAGATTAAGACATTAACACGGCATGAAACTCTGGATACAGACTTTTGACATTTTCCTCATCTTATTAGTAGGAATTGCAGCATTCATACTCCCCATGGGTTGTTTTCAGATGTTTCTGGAAATCCAGAACAACCCTCTAATGTGAGATTACGGTCTTGTCGCTGTCTGTAGGTGATGCTCCGCACGGCTCGCCTCGTGGCTCAGTGGCAGTGTGTGGGTTTCTGCCATGGAGTCCTGAACACGGACAACATGAGCATCCTGGGACTCACGCTGGACTATGGTCCATATGGCTTTATGGACAGGTCAGACATTTGCAGAGTGTTTTAGCCAATAGGTCTGATTGAACAGTTATTGTGTTGTTATTTAATATTCATCATCATACAGGAGTAGGTGGAAATGATTGTGAAACAGTAATCACAAGACCCAACTTTCCTCATCCCTCTTAGGTTTGATCCAGATTTCATCTGCAACGCCTCCGACAACTCCGGCCGATACTCCTACCAGGCCCAGCCAGCTATCTGCAGGTGGAACCTGGTGAAGCTGGCGGAGGCGCTTGCTCCAGAGCTGCCACCGGACCGGGCTGAGGCCGTTATGGACGAGTACCTGGATCTGTATAACGGCTTCTACCTCGAGAGCATGAGGAAGAAGCTGGGCTTACTGAAGAAGGACGAGCCAGAGGATGAGCTCCTGATCACAGAGCTGCTGCAGACCATGCACAACACAGGTGGGATGGATTATAAAGCAGTATATGTTGCCTGGTGATAAGAGTCTGATGAGAGAGCGTCTCCTCTAGTGAGAGGCAAAGAGTTTGAGAATACAATTCGTACATGCAGTGCTGAATATAAAACAAATGGAATAGTCACTGGTGCCACATCAATGTTATAACCTTTCCCGTGTCCTTCCTGCAGGTTCTGACTTCACCAACACCTTCCGTAGCTTGAGTCAGATTTCCTGTCCCACTGAGGGGGAAAGTGAAGGAGAAGAGGAGCTTGTCAGGAAAGCCACAGACCTCCTGCTGGAGCAGCGTGCCTCCTTAGAGGAGCTCAAGGCTGCAAACAAACCCACTATGGATCCACGGTGAGCTAGCCACGCGTGCTGCATGTTTTATAAACACACTGTGTTTTGTCTATTTCATACCATCACAGAAAGCAAACATTAGTGTTTACTGTACTGTAGATATTCATGGGTGCCAGAAAATGAAAGATACTATTTGTACACCTTGTCGTCGAAACTTGTATATGATGAACAAAAGAAGTACGGTAATGTTGCCGTGATTTAATTGAGCAGATGTATAAGAAAAGCAAAAATATTAGAAATGATGTTCATCCTGTCCAACATTTTTGTTTTGTTTGGTGTGATGCACATTGTAGCCTCCGGGTGCCGCTAGTGGGGCGTTATATTACTGGTCTTGTGTATTCTATGTGACTATATATTATCACCATCTTTACTATATTAACGTAGAACAGTGCATCAGTTCAAGATGTCTGAAAACAACATTAACTGAGTCTTTGGTCAGTTCAGGGCAGAGGTAAAAGCTGTAATGACAACTTAGAGTAATGAGAGTAACACCTTTAAATCTGTTCTCTGATTTCCTGCATGTATTCCTGTGCATATAAACAGTCAGTGGACCAATCGTGTCTTTGTTTTGCTGCACAGGCAACCCAACATGCCAATAAATCATCTAACCGTTGTGTTTTCTGTCTGCTGATGACAGCGAGCTGGCGATGCTGCTCTCTATGGCTCAGAGCAACCCGGCACTGTTCCAGATGATCTCAGACAGGACGTCAATTGCGAGGCAGTTAGACAGACTCAGCAAACTGAAAGACCTGATGGAGACCAGCCAGGAAGAGCTGAAAACCCAACAGGCGGAGGAGTGGAGCCGCTGGATCACACGCTATAGGTGAGAATTTTTTTTGGGGTGGGGATCATGAGTGGATAAAGGGAGGAAGGCAACATTTAGGAAAACGAAAAGATGAGGAGGAAAAACAGCTGGCACATATAACAAGAGGTAGAGGGTGGAGGGACTACATGGACCGGATAAGAGCTTTGTGGGTGGATGGTCATGGGTGGAAGTGTGACTGATAAAGGGGGCGGACAGACAGAAAGAAGAGGAAATGGGGCGTTGAGTCTGCCATTGCTCAGACTGAGCGTTTTGCGTTATCCCTTCCACAGGAAGCGTCTGGCTCGGGAGCTAGAAGGCCAGAGTGACGTGCGGGCCGCGCAGGAGGAGAGGGTGAGGGTGATGGACAGCACCAACCCTCGCGTGGTGCTCAGGAACTACATCGCCCAGAATGCAATTGAGGCTGCTGAGAATGGAGACTTCTCTGAGGTCAGTCTTGGACTTTTTGGACTGTTGTGCATCTGAGGTAGAGAAGTTTTTTAGACCAGTTTTTTTGCATCGAGAGCGATTTCAAAGCAGCAAAACTAAGATTTGAATGCAGTCAAGTTACAAACGCAATTCCCTTTTGTTCTCTTTATTTTCAGTGTTTCACTTTCAGGGTGTTTACCTGCTCTCACTTCTCACTTCCTCTCTGTGCTGCAGGTCCAGCGAGTCCTCAAGGTTCTGGAGAAGCCTTTCTCTCTGCAGCCAGGTCTGGAGCTTCCCGTGTGGGTGGGCGGCGGCGGCGGCGGCAAGGCCACCAAACAGGGAGAGAGGGATGAAGGAGAGGACCAACAGCAAGAGGCGGCCTCTACGTCCACAGACAGAAACCCTGTTCCCTATGACAGCAGGCCCCCAGCTTGGGCCCATGAAATCTGTGTCGCATGATCTTCGTAATAACTTCCCTGATTGTTTCGCTTTCCTGCCGAAAATGATAAGAGTTTATTGCTCTTTTAGTTCACATTTGTGCTTTTTTTTTTTTTAATGTCCCTTCCACTTTATGTACAACTCTCCATTACTTCGGCAGGAAGCGTCAGGGAAGTTAGCATGAGGCACGACATCCCATAGGCTACCTAGCTGAACCAAAGCAGACAGGCGGTGGGTTGAATTTAGGGGTACAAATGCATAGAGATACAAATATGATGTTGCCATGTGAGTTTAAAATATATTCAGCAAATCTGAAATGTGCCATGAAATGGCTTTGAAGTGATTAATTCCCTCCATTGCCTGACATTCCTGCTTAAAACAACACCAGAATTGACTTGATGAGGAAATTGATAGATGAGGAGTTTTTTTTTTAAGGCAGATTTCTTTTAAATCTCCTTGAATGCAAGATGCATTAAGATAACTGGCACACAACAAAAGATGGCAGAAAAAATACATCCAAAGACATTTTGGGAAAGACGTTATTCTTTTGACTTTACAAAGAAGGCCCTCAGCTCGTTCCCTGTCTGCTTGGTGTTTGACTAGCTATTAATGACGACTCAGACAACAAGTCCTACAGTGACCTGTCTGACTCTGACAAACTGTGAGGTGCCACCTCAACATATACCAAATAGTGTGTGTGTGTGAGAGAAAAGATGATGATTTTTGGGCATGTATTTGGGTGAATGGGAGTGATTGCACTTGATCCAATAAGCCGCAGTAGATCAACACACAATACTGTTTATTGTCACATAATATAAATAATTGCTTTTCGCCTCCGTCATAGCACTGCTTTATAGGCATAGAGCCACAACCACCACTTTTGTTACCTAACATGTAAAATAAGCAGTGACTAGTGAATCTAGAGTCCAGCAAAGGAAAATGGGAACTGTGTGTTTAAATTAGGCTATTTTAGTCGGGTTGTGATTGTGTAAACCTAAGGAAAGATGTCTTTAATCTGTGATGCCTCAGCACTAATCATAACATGCCATACTTGAAACATGATCAATTTGTTAGTTTGGCCAATCAATTTAGATTAGTTGTCAAAATTGGACGATTAAAACTGAACATTCGCACAAAAAAGTGGCAGAATTGACATGAAAGGAAATTGTTTCAAAGTTGTATTTTTCCTAATAAATATGGACTGTATGGTTGATCTCTTCCCAATAAACTGAGCAGTCAATAGACGTCATGGCCTCTTTGTGCCAAGTACATACCTGGCATAGCTGCCTTTTCATTCCGTGAACTCGACTCCACCTCCACATTTCTGTGTTGCCTAACGTTATACTTGATGTTACCATTAGATTGCTCCACTCTGGTAACAGATGCACTTTAAACTCGTCCTCTTTGTGTAAATGCCATATAGGCCGAGCTGATACAATCTGACGTTTTCAGTTTCTTTATAACACTACGGTGTCCTTGACTCATTTAAGGTTCCTCTAACCACGTAGTTGTATTTCTGCAGCCCGGGGTGTCAGTAATGCTCATGTCCCAGCAAGTCTCAGACATTTGCTTCCCTGCTCGTTCTCAAAGAGCAGAGGAACTACACACGCACACAGTACACGTTGCCATTTAAAGGCAAGCGCTTATTAACAACTCTTTGAAGTTGCTATCCAAACTGCGCGCACTTACCAACGCATTTCAAAGTAATGTCAGCTTAGTTACTCGTATTATTCACATTCCAGTCTCCTTTTCACCTTTAATTGTAGGCCTCACGCGGGACTCGGGAGTGGCTTTTTGTGACCCGAGGGTGCGCCCTGAGCGGCTGACACGCAGAGCTGCGCAATGATCGAGGGTGAGAGCATAGGTGGGATCTGGAACAATGGGTGTGTAGCGACGGAAGAGACACAACAGCCAAAGAAGAACCTCTCCTGGACGCTTCATTTGATTTTTGTTTAATAAATAGGATGTCCAAGCGAATCAGACCCGGCTATTACCGCCAAGACGTCAACAAAACCTCATGGGAAGTACCGGAGCGGTACCGGGAGCTGAAGCAGGTGGGGACCGGGGCGTACGGGACTGTATGGTAAGTGGAGTCTGCTAAACTGGGGAGATGGATACAACACGGGTCGCGCAGCGGGTTTATGGGGAGCAGCACGGTGACAAAGAACGCGACGGGACAGATGGTGCCGTCCAGGCAGCCGCGCGGTGCCACGGACCAAACAAAAGAAAAAAAGTACGCGCGCTCCGCTGAACACATGCTGCTTCACTTCCTTATTTGATGGGGAGACACTTGCAGCCATAGCTTCGCCTCACGGAAATCATCCCTGTCACCCGCAGCCAAGTATTGTGTTATGTAGAGCACATGGGTGGCTCTTTGAGAAATAGGTGCGCTCGCTCACCCAAGTTTTGTCGACGCATAACAATGAGGAGCAGCTATATTCAGGCCACCTTGTGCGTGTCGCAGCATGCGGTCCCTTTGTTATTAACCCTGTGGGCGGGCACTAAACTGCCCCGGACTGACTCAATGCAACTTAATAACACATGAACAACTCTCAAAAATTGTGGTCGGATACGAAGTGGAGATGGAGCCGCCTGCTTACAGCCATCACTGCTGGAGTACAGGCAGGGACGTACCGGGACATATGAGTACTGGGGATGGGTGAGGGGGCAGGGGGAGGATGGGTAAATACAGGTTCGTGCAGTCCTGATCAGAAGATAAGGAAGATCTTCAGTTACACATCAGATCAGGGGATGGAAGTGTGTTGCCCTGATCACAGCAAAGTTCCTAAAATGTGCTAATTGTTTCCTCATACTGGTAATGTTGCAGAACAGCTGATGTTCTGGTTTTATTCTCACCCTCAGCTCAGCAGTGGACTCCAGAACAGGAACCAAAGTGGCAATCAAGAAGCTGTACAGGCCGTTCCAGTCGGAGCTCTTCGCCAAGCGGGCCTACAGGGAGCTGAGGCTTCTCAAACACATGAAACATGAAAATGTGAGCGTCAGCATGATTGTTAGTTATGTGGTCCAGGCCCGCAGGGGATGCACAACTATTTCTGATTACATTAGTGCACTTTTACAGTTCTGACTTGATGACGTTGTTGACAAGCAAAGCAGCTTAAAATGTAACTAGAGCACGAAGCATTTACTTGTTAAGAATGGACCAAAGGCGTAATACATGGTCTATTTCTGTCTGGTGCAGGTGATCGGCCTGTTTGATGTTTTCACCGCTGACCTCTCTCTGGACAGATTCCATGATTTGTAAGTGCTCTTTCTTGCTTCTGCCACTGCAGCAGGACAGTATTGATCTATATCTGGAAATGATTTCAAAGTTGCATCCGGTTGGGAGTTTCCCACTCATAACGTGTACTTCTTCCTCAAAGTTATCTGGTGATGCCGTTCATGGGGACAGATCTGGGGAAGCTGATGAAGCTGCAGAAGCTGTCAGAAGAGAAAATTCAGTATTTGGTTTATCAAATGCTCAAAGGGCTCAAGGTGGAGCACTCTCCTTTATTTGTTGATTGTGGACAATTTATTACTTTACTACCTGAGTTTATTGGTTCTGTTGATTAAATCCCTGTTGTATTCTTTTATTGCAGTATATTCATTCTGCTGGAATAATTCACAGGGTAAGTTGTGTGTTATATTTCCACTATGTATGTATGTGTGGGATAAAGAGTACGTTCAAACATTGTTATCAAATTGTAACAGGAGCCGGTGCTTCCTGTTTACGAACTTATGCCCTCACCATTTTATTACACGGCTGGATTTTATTTTCCTCTTGCTGCTTTGGTACAGACTCACAGTCACAATTGGTCTTTTCACACGGGTAATTGCAGGACCTCAAACCAGGAAATCTCGCCATCAACCAAGACTGTGAACTCAAGGTACAGTTGTACACATCCTGATAACCCAAACACCCATCCTGTGCCTTCATTTCAAGATATTTCATTTGATGGAGTTACAGTTTAAAATGGACAATCTGTATCTTTATCCAGAATGTCTTTTAACGAGGCTCATTATAAGTAAGATGTTGATGCTGCTGTGTCTAACCCGACTGCGTTTCATTTTGCGTTCTGTCAGATCTTGGACTTTGGTTTGGCGCGGCAGACAGACAGCGAGATGACGGGGTACGTGGTGACTCGCTGGTACAGAGCCCCAGAGGTCATCCTGAGCTGGATGCACTACACGCAGACTGGTAATGAAGAGCTAATTAAAGGGAGAAAAAAAAAAACCTGACATCTTTCATCAATGTGTGGTCATGTTCAGTGCTCCCCATTAGCGCTGCATTCATTGTTTTAGTTGTTCTCACTTGCCCTCAGCTTCGGGCTTCTGCTTCAGCTAGTGATTTACTACATTCCCCAGAATGATTTTCACATCCCCTAGAGTTTTGTTGCTTTGTTTCTTCATTTAAAGATTACGAGCACGTGCATTCTAGTCTATCGAGGCAACAGTCAGTCAAGACAGTAACACTTTTTCCTCTTTTCAAAGATAGATTTATCTGTATGATTGTGAACAGTGAGTCTATTTAATTGTAAATATGTTTGAAAAATAACTACACAAAATGTCTTTGTTTTAAAGTGGTTGGATGCGGTGTTAAAAAAGATCTTTGTTAATTTGAGTCAGGTGGTATTATGTATTTCCCACTAGGTGGTGATCTCTTAACACTTTACCTTCTGTTGCAGGTGCGTTTTTAGGGAATGCATGCGTCTTTAGCTGCTGATCACTAGCCCACAATGTCTTATAATTGTATGTTGCTTAAGATTGTAACAAAACATCTGAAAAGTGTTTGTTTTCTGCTTCTTTCTCAGTGGATATTTGGTCCGTGGGCTGCATCATGGCGGAGATGCTGCAAGGAAAACCTCTTTTTAAAGGCAGCGACCGTATCCTTTCACCTCACTGACGCTTTTACACAGAAATTCATAACAGCAATTCGTAGCAAATTCATAGTGCTGAAATTTCATAGGAGTGTAGTTTTTGGCAGGATCAAGTAAAATTTAACAATTATCTGAAAGAATTATCTTGTAAACGTGACCAGTCACATTTGACCCTTGACCCCCGTTCTTCAGACCTAAATCAGCTGACTGAGATCATGAAGCTCACAGGAACACCGACTCAGGAGTTTGCATCAAAACTAGAATCTGACGACGTGAGTTCAGACGCATATAGAAACTTAAGCATACACTCCCTGATTTTGTTGTAGCAACATATCATGCCCCCAAATCTACTGAATTCTAGGAATTGGAAGCACAATCGGGCAAAATCTGTGGGTTTGTGCTGCATTAAAATTGACTAATTTCTTTTCTTAGGCCAAAGGCTACATCAAAAGCCTTCCAAAAGTGGAGAAGCAAGACCTTCAGAATGTGTTTTCTACAACTAATCCACAAGGTAAGATGTGCTCATTCTGGCCAATTGATGCATTTTTCAGTTTGACAGTCAATCTGAGATTTGACTTTCCGTTTCCCCTTTTTCGTCAGCCGTGTCCGTGCTGGAGCGCATGTTATTGTTGGATCCGGAGAGCAGGGTAACCGCTGCGGAGGCTCTCATACTGCCTTACTTCACTGAGTTCAGAGAACCAGAGGACGAGACGGTAGCACAGCCGTATGACCACTCGTTAGACAACACGGAACAGTCCTTGGACCAGTGGAAACGTAAGGATGAAAGGGAGGAGGAGCTGTGAAGGGGAAAGGAACAAGAAGAAATTAGCTGTTTAATGATCAGTGCTGTGCTTCTTTCTTTAGGTCACACCTTCACAGAGATCTTGACCTTTAAACCAGTTGTGCCAGATTCCAAGGAAACCGCACTCTAAGACACATTCCAGAGGTGCAGCGCGGGACAGAATAAACTATCATGTCTTTTTGTTAAATCTTGAGCTCAACTGGGAGAACTCTTTAATCACAAGGCTCTATGAATGCCTTTGGATCCAGTTCACAATTGTCTTTTAATTGCAAGCTGTCATGTTTTTGGATTTGTCATTCAACATCATGTTGGTCCAGTAGCTTTCTTCTTGACTTTAGCATCAGACCTTTCCATCATGTCCTACAGTGCTGAGGATGATAGTTAAGTTGCTGTAAATCAGGTTTTAATATTCTTTCATAAGTAACTAGGTTATGGGGTGTATTACTTCAGTTACTTAGTTCAATTTCACTTCAGTGGTACATATATGTTGTATGAGTTTTTTTTCGTTAGACTACCTACGATGTAATATGTTGTTTTGTGAAGTAGACTACATGTCCTTAAAAGACATTTAATTGGCATTATTTGGACGTCCTTGTGTGCGTGCATCTGTGTGTGTCTGTGTGTGTGTGTGTGTGTGTGTGTGTCTAGTCTACATGTCTGCTCTTCTGACCTCGTTATTCCTCCCAGTGGCCTAAAGATAACGACAAAACAAATAAACTGCCCAGCTGCTAATCGTACGAAATTCATCCCAGCAGGTTGTGCACAAACATTCACATTGTAATTTCACACCAAGATCAGACTTACATCCAATGTTTTTGTTTTTTTTAAACACAGAAAGTAGCACAAAACACAGTCTATGTTGATTTGTGAATGAATGTACCACTCATGCATTTTTTTATATCATTAAAGACTCCAATTATGAAAATGATGCATGTGTTGTTGTTTTTTTCTTTTCTTGGATTTTGCCTCATCATGGCTCTATAAAGTATTCAAGAGATGCAGCAGAGGTAGAGATATCTTGATTTTAAGTTTCTGTTGGGAGTTAAGCAGCAAGCTATAAAAGGGCTGGTTCCTACATTACCCATAATGCAACCAGTGGCATATTTTGCTAGATCCTTCCTGTCTGGTAAATACCCCCAAACTTGTAGTTTACGAGTCCAGGCTGCGATAAACCACAAACCATGCTATGACTAATAAAATCACATGTATGTGTTAAATTGGCAGAATTCCCCTATAAATGACAATATTGCATGTTTCATATTTATCCATCCGTTAAGGCACTTTTGTGTTGCTCATATTAACTAACACTAGGTGGCAGCACATAAACAAGTCATGACCAGGCTGCGTCTGGAGCTCTTGAGATGGTGATCGGTCCACCACTTCAGGTCTAGACTGAAATATCTTGACACGTTTGCAGATACACAGAGATGATGATGACCGTGGTGATCTTCTGACTTTTCATCTAGCACCACCAGCAGATAAAAGTGTTTTAAATTATCCCGTGAAATATTTCCAGATCTAGTTGTCTGGATTTGGCACAAAATGTGGTGCAGACATTCATGGTTCTTGCACAATGTGTCCTAACTTTGATGACCCTCAGATGTTTCCTCTAACACCATCATCAGGTGAACTTTTAAATGTGTCCAATAATTAGTGTTTTGACTAAATACTTCCAACACTAATGACATTCCCATCAGCCTCAGCTGTACCATGAACATGGGCAACATTGCATCTAAAACACCAGCACGTTAGCGTGCTGACGTTAGCGTTGAGCTCAAAGAACCACAGTCCCTGAGGCAAAGCCCCGTCTTGTTATTCTCTTTTTAGAAGATTAGACCTGTCACATTAGTCGTTGCAGTGATTTGTTGTATTGCAGTTAACACTGACAACCTTAGTTTTGATTTTAATATGATTGATGACTTCAAGTATCAAGCGTTTACAGATCCCTGCAGAATGCCTGTTTGCTTTTAGATTCTGCACATTCCTCCACATACTCTCCGTTGGCGGGTGTTGAATTTAACAAGCTTGTCTTGAGTGGCCTCCAGGTCCTTGACTCCCAAGGGTGACTCTCCCCGAGGACAAGCTTCCTCCAAACCCTGGGTGCATGTTGTGTCCTCCTCATGACACGCACCGCGGGTAGTTCACTGGAAAGTCAGAGAGTTCTGTTCCCGCAGCAGACAGGAAAACAGAGGGGAAAGCACTTTCTTTTTTTACCCCCACAACCACCTCCCTCTCCCAACACACACACACACACACACACACACACACGAACAGACTCCCCCCTCTCCGTCTCGTTTGTTGACCCCGTGGTTTATTTTCAGAGCATGTGGGATTCAAGCAGCATATTTTCTAAGAAACACACGCACATAGGGTGTGTGTGCACCCGTATACATAGATACGCCTGGCATGCACAGTTGGATACACACATCCATACACTTTAGACTGACACTGACTCAGGAGGGAGTACGCGTGGAATGGCAGCGATGCCCAAACATTGATCTGACCTGGGTCACTGCTCTTTCTTAAAGTGGAATGTCAGTTATAGCTATGTTTATTTTATGTGTCAGGGGGGAGGCACATCACTGTGAATCTCACCATGGTGATCTTGGTTCCTGTGTATGAAAGATAGAACTTTAGTTTTTTTTTATCAGTGACGAGCTTGGAAACTTTTCAGTTTGTCTCATTTGTCTCACAGTAGGAACTATGATAACTAATGATTCCATAAATAGGAGCCAAAACTTTCAATTTATTTCCATCAGTTCTAATTGAAATGAATCACACTGACGGAGCATCATCAGTGAGTGTTTATTCTCCAAATAATTTGGGCTGTCATGTCCTTGCTGGAGATCAAATAAACAGATTTGAGGGCTCAGCGGAGACAAATTGATTGGAGTTTTACCATGAGGAGAAGAGAAAATCTGTCAACGCACTGAATGTCCTTGTCTGTGACTGTTTGTGGGCTTTACACAGATTCATGCATTTACTTTGCGGGGTATTTGTGTAGAAGATGTTCACCATGTGACTGTTTGCTTAGTTACAGATGTCAGTTTGGATCTGTGCTGCTGCTGCTCTGTGGCAAGTCTACAGAGGTCTGCGTTTCCTCATACATGGCTACATGGACACTGTTAAAAAGACAGATACTCCTGATGAGAGCCAAAGCATTTTTAAACACAAGCAAGTAACGGCTGTTTAATTGTGCAAGTCGTATTTTTGAGCTGACAGCTGTTCAACGGGTCCAGTTCAAAAATACATTTTCCACATTCTCAATTAGGCATGTTTACATGTTTTCTATTTGTTTTTTGCTTTAGTGAATGAATACTTCTGTTTATCGCTTTCCAGCTTCATTATTGTTTTGTTTGTGTATCTGGCCCGGTGTTTGTTTGCAGGGCTTGGCAGGAGGGTGCATGTGTGTGGAGGTCAAGCGACCCCGACAAAAGTGAGTCACGTGGCCCGGCATTCTGTCGCTGAGGGTTTTCTGTCTAACTCGCTCACCCTTCGCCCCTCAAACCTTCTTCTGTCCTCACACGTGTTTTTTGAGTGAGCCTCTATCTCGGCCCTGATCATTGTGAGATGTATACAGAAACACACGTGTCGGCGGGAGAGCGGAGCCTGCCGGGCAAACTATAAAGAGGAAATTCCACAGGCTCACATGGGGCTGGTGAGTCTCCAATTCTCTGAGCTCCGAGGGGGCACCAGAACTTGGGTGGGTATGAAAAGGAAGTAAATTGGGAGGTTTAGGAAGTAATGATATACAGGGAAGAAGGAGGAGAGGATTGGAACAAAGGGAAGAGCAAAAAGTGGAGGGCCGGCAAGAAAGTATGGGTGGATGAAAGCAAAGGAAGGGGGGAGAGACAGAAGACATGCAGAGGGCCCGAGGGAGAGCCTATCTCCGCCAGAATGGGCAGTTTAGTTTACATTAGCTCATTCATTAGCCATCCACCCCACCTCTTTTAAGACTTCTATGGAATAGGCAGTGCAAAGAGTGCATGCCACAGATTGTGATCCCTCTCCCAGAACAATTTTGTGTCCATCTGTGATGTGTTGACGTACGGGGTTTGTGGTGTGTCACGTTTAGAGAGGCACTACAGACCCAAAGGAGCGATAGGAGCAAGCTGCTGAACCGAGACGAACTGCTGTAAATTGTGTTTAAGTTGAAGTTGCATACATACATGTACAGCTCGCTTATGAAGAGATTGAGGACACCTAACCAGCACAATATGAAAAATGTCTTTATCTATAGTTGAAAGTTATTGTCTTGTGATTAAAAGCACAAACTGTTTTCAGACATCCATGTTGCTGTGTTCGGGTGCATGTAAACATACATGCTTTTGAGATTTGTTAAAATAGTCAATACACCAGGATGTATTGCCACACAATAACAAATCCACCAAACATACAAAGATGATAAAGTACGATATGATAAGACGACCGTTAATCTGTTGTAATTAAGTTTCTTATTTCTAGAAGTTGATTGGCTGGCTATGCAGGCAGTACTGAAAAAAATGTCTTCCTGAAAGGTGGGAAAGACACATTCAAAAATCTACATTGAAATATGTTAAATATGAATGTGGAGAAAAGTACACATAAGGGTATGAGCTTGGTTTCAGAAGTGGAGGGGGGTGGGGCAAAATAAAGTCAGAGGGTCCTCAATAAAAAAAGAGAGAGGGAGAGAACCAAGTGGCTAAGTTTGTTAGAGCTAACCAAATATAGCCACTTAGAAATAATTTACAATACCAAGTTTGTTCCATCTTTAATGCAGGGAGCACTATCCTATAATAACAAATCTCTGAATAATGTTCAATGCTAGCTTGTTTTTTAAGGAAAGAACTGTGAAATTAAATATAGTTTAAATGAAAACATGCAGAGACTTTTTCTCAGATCTGAGTCTTGTCTCTTGGGCGAAGAAAGTCCACAAATCTCAATGTTGCTCATAAAGCTTATTACTGTTATATGGTAATAGTTGAAGGCAAATCAGATGAGTATATCAACATTTTGATCTACTCCCCTCTTCTCTCTTCTTGATTTTGGCAGCCTGACAGTCAGAGGGTACTGTTTTGAGTTTTAGTGAATAAATCAAAAGAGACAGTAAAAGCAGGGGGCAAAATAAGTCAGTAAACATGATGCCAGAAGCACAGTAGATACGGCTGTGAATGCTCCACCTGAAATCTGTCTTTTGAGTATCAAACGCTCACCCCCTGTCGGCTTGAAAGGTGGCTGGTAAATGTTTTCCACTCTGACAGAGAACAGCAGCTTGAATTCATCCTGTTAAAATGGATTCCAATGGTGTCATGATCTTTCATAGTGAAAAAAAAAACAGTATCAAAACACCCACAGGAATGTCTCGGACATGTTGTGTAATCCACTTCTCTGCTGCCAGTCTGTTTGAAGGGTTTCTTCTTTTTTCTTTAAAGGTGATCTTAGCTTATCATAAGGAAAACCAGAAGCCCAGCTGATGTTCATATGCCTGAATAATGAAATGATACATTGTTTTTCTCCGCTCTCTTATATGAATGAGGTGAAACACAATCTGAAAAATAAACAGGCATTATCGCACAATGGTGAATGAAAACGCACCCAGAAGTCAAAGCCCGGTTATATAAGGTTATATAAAGTCGGTTATATAAGCCTTTCAAAATCTTCTGAGTCTCCCCAGCTTGATGTGTTTAGGGTTGATGATTGCTTTCAGTTGTCAAGCCTTACTGGGAGAGGGCAGCGAAACAGAACCCGTCACATTTTTTCCTTACTAAAACCCATCCTTGCTGAATTAAGGAAACTCTTGCAGACGCACATGCACCATGGCAGGGAACAGAGTATAGAGCCTTTTTTTTTTTCCAGGGGGGGTTGTTGGTGGTGGTGAGGAATGTCAGCATCTGTGTTGGGGATAGATTCTAGCTGTTTTCTCAGAGATGCCAGTGAGTGCAACTGGGCTCCCATCCCAGCCTCTCTACCTCATGTCTGTCCACGGGGGCAGCAGGGTGAGATACCAAACCAGACATAGTTCCTAACCTAACCACCGCAAAAAAAGATTTAGAATTCTTTGTGTTATTCTCTTTGTTCCGACAGTACTCATGTTTATGACTCTCGGTCTCTCAGGACAGGATGCTGCTATCTAGTTGCTCTATAAATACTCACAATAGAAGTTGTGTTTCTCTTCTGTACAAGAAGTATAAAGGATATTATTACATGGTACAACACTCATCATGTGATTGCATGGTAAGCAAACTTCCCTGACATGACCCCAAAAGGAGTGAATGCAGAGGAAATGATGTGGTAAAAGACAGGCATGATTGATAAAATATATATAGTCTCTCAAAATGATGGCAAACATTTCTTCTCCGGGGTTAGTCGGTCTACTGACGTGGGCCGAGTTTCACACGGAGGTCTACCTGGCGGGGTGGATGCCCTCCTGTGGAAAAAAAAGCAGACAGATGAGAGAGGAAGGTGTGTGTGGCAGATGTGCAGGGTTATAAACTGACAGGATGTTTATCAGGACTGCAGCGGTCTCCGTAACAGTGATGATGTGGTTCAAATACATTTCACTCTGGTGGCCTCAATGTGATGGGTTGACTGCTCAACCTCTAATTAACCTGATGTAGATCTACTGTCTTATTATTCCAACTAAAGTAACAACTAATAGGCTGCTTTAATTATTTAAAATCATATTTCCCCCCAAAAAATCTGAATTGACCAAATTGTTTAACATTTTTGGAAAATGTGCTTGCCAGGAGTCAGATGAGAAGATTGATGTCATTCTCATGTCTATGATAAATGTGAAGCTACCGCTAACCGGCTCTGTCTGAAGATCCTGCCAGCATGTCTAAAGCTCACTAATTAACAAATAATATGTTTCATTTGTTACCTATATGTACAAAAACTGATATATAAAAACAATAAATTGTACTTTTACAGAGGTTAGGCTATGTGCTGGACGATTGGCCAGGTACAGTGACTTCCTGTCTCTGCTGATTGGCACAAATCCCCCAATAAACCCACATGTCATATTAACACTTCTGGTTTCTTTAAATTAATGAATTAAGCACACAAGATTTTTTCATTTGTGAGTTTTAAAGGTGGATTTCCTTCCCAATCATACACATGGACACAATTCCTCTGTTGAATACACACATTGAAAGAACTGGCGGGATTAGCTGTATTTCACTGTAATTATATGATTAGGCTGCATGTGATAATAACCAAATAAAATTGATTGGTTGATTGTCAGACTTTGTGCTAAGCTAATTAAGCTATATGCTAAGCTAACCATCTTTATATGAGAATGGTATCTTCTTATCTGGGCAAGAAAGTGAATAGGCCAATCTGCAGCCTAATTCCAAAATGCTGAACCATTCCTTTAAGTCACAGGAAAGAATTTGGGTCGAATTAACATTCCCTGTCTTCTGTCATGTTTACTCAGCAGATTATCTGATGCAAAGTGAGGTGATCATACTAAGACTAAGACCCACTCTGAGAGGAACAAACGATCATTAACAGACGTGTGCGTGAATACACAAATGGAGCCGAGGAAATCCTCCTTTGCATCTCAATCAATTGTTCAACGGGAGGACGAGGCTTCACTTTTGTTTGCGTGTGGGTGGGAGGAGGGGACGAGGGAGGAAAGGAGGAGGTGGTGTTCCTCCTTGACCCCTCCTCCTCAGCCACTATATGTGAAGAAGAAAAAAACTTGACCAGCCCCCTTCCCATTCCCATGGATCGTATTACGGGAGACTCCAGCACCGAGACATCTGCTCCGCCACTAACAACGGAGCGCGTCCCCGCGTCTCAGACCTGCGACCGATCCCGTCTCCCGTAGTTGCCCCCTCCTCCTCCTCCTGCCCTCTTCCCCACAATTGTGATCTCTCCGTTTTTTTCCTGTTCTGTTAGGGTTCTCTTAGGGTTAACGTTGCGATCATGAGGAGCCACAGTGCATGTCCCCTCCACGTTTCCCGGTTGTAGTTCACCCGGACAAAGCGCATTCCCCGCGCCATCCCTCCCGTACATCCGAGAGGCGAGTAGCGGCGGCGGAGCGAGCGAGCTGCGGCCCCCCCCCCCGGTGCCATCGAGCAGCACGTTTCTTTTTGTCCGTGCGCCCCGCAGACTGCTGGCTGTGGGCTTTTGCGGCTTTCGCATCCTCTCCGCTGCTGGCTGCGTTGTTGTAGGAAAAGACAACGAAGGGCGGATGAACAAAAACAAAGATCTGCATTGTCTGCTGTTTTGAAAGCGGATCTTTAATCTGAATATTATTCTTTTTGTCTTTCTGCGAGCTTTGTTTTGTTTTGTTTTTAACACCATGGAGTCTGTGGAGAAGGAGTGTGGAGCGCTGGGTGGATTATTCCAGGCCATCGTGAACGACATGAAGGTAGGTGACACGCATGCAACCCTACGGTAACGTAGACCGGGGTGATATGTGACCTTTGTGGTAGCACGGTGGCTGATCAGACGCATATTTTTACTGCCTTTGTCTCTATTACCGGGTCCTCCCCCACTGGAAACACCGCTGCAGGTCAAATTGGGAGATGAAACATGTTTCCCTTTGTGCTATTTGCATAATGTGCAGCAGGTCCGTCAGGTTGTATGTAACAATACTTCAGCCAGCGTGTGATCACCATATAATACCTGCTAACTGGAAATAAAATGAATAACTAACATGTTTATTTTGTGAAATACGTGGTGGGGGTTTCATGTGTTTGGTTCAGGGGTCAAAACCATAACCTCACCATGATTAGAATCAAATGGATCCATCACAAGAAGGGGAAAGAGCTGTAGAAATTGGGAGGTTATTTCTACGTTGTGCAGTAATCTCAGTACAACTGTTCTTGGGTGCCATTTGACCCCCAAACAACTGTTCCTACCTCATCCCAGACTCCAAGGTTTCTTAGATTATAAATGGCACAGGTGGAAGCTCTGCAAGAAAATAACCGGCTCCATCACCTAAACCTCCCGGACAGAAACGGCCATTAAAGGTTATTGATTGTGCTTCCTGATGTTTGGCCCTTGTGGCAGGAAATCTCTACTTCAGCAGTGTGTCGCCTCGTTCAATACACAGTTCATCCAGGCACTACCTCGCTGAACGGAACGGACTCACGCCGCCTGCTTTCTGTCTAAAACCTGTTGTCTTTCGCTCAGCATAGTTTTACTATTATTTCTTAAGCAGGAACTAGATGTCTCCCATTATTTATAACCCACACACAAGTGTGTGTGTTTTGGTGCGTTTGTGTGTGTTGGGGGAGGGTCAAGTCAAGGAAGTTGAACCAGGGTGGTCTGTTGTTGTTCACCACAACAGATGGAAAGTGTGAACGTATTCATCAGGCCCCGTTGGCAGCTCCTAGTCTTCTCATTGTGGGGGACGCTCATGCTACAAAGTGTTGAGAGAGCAGTTAATAAGTCAAGCATCAGGCTTCCACCTAACAGATTTCTTATTGATCGCTGGCTCTCGGGGGTGGGGGGGGCAGGGTGCCTTTTGGACGCACTATTTATGGGCCCTCGTTTGTCAGGCTCCAATGAAATCAGCTCTCGGCTATTGGCAGCGCTGGTTTGGTTTCATATATTTCCCTTTCTGTGGTGTGCTCATGGCAGGCTTAGAGAGACAGACGGGGTGGGGGGGGGCTCTTAGAAAGAGGCAGTCTGTGTATTGATAAGCAGCAAAGATGAATGAGGCTGAAGCCCTTAGTCAGCACAGTGTCCACTGTCGGAGACAGGCATCTGACCTCATTCCTGCCGCCTGGCTGGGTCACACAGGCCTGTCAGACCGGCTTTACCCCCCCGGGAGCAACGCAGCAGCGCGGCTCTCCTGTGCTGATCTCGCCGATTGGGAGCAAAGTTACAGTACAGTGTGCAATTACCCACATGATACCCAAGCTGTGCACTCGGAGAACTTAAGAAAAAGCCTCTTTTACGGACCGTACAGACAAGATGCGTTGACATAAGCAGCACCTGTTGGTTGTATAACAGTCTGACGAAGCTGCAGGAAGAGAAGCAAAAGAGTAGGAGGTGGTAGAAGAGGAGGTAGAGAGTGAGAGGGAATACAATGACTCAGCTGGATTACATCAGCAACATCAAGAATGAGGTCAGCAATGGATGTGACTTCCAGGATCTGTGTGTGTGTGTGGGAAAGCAACCACTTTTTCAAAATGACCTTGAACTAACACTGCCCGCCGCCTCCGAGGATGATAGTTTCAGACCTCAGCCCCCGGTGAACGGCGAGGCGTCGGAGGAAGAGCCCGCCTCTCCTTCCTGTCCTTCTTCCTTCCCTCCCTCTGTTCGTCTCCCCTCACCTCCCTGGGAGCTGCTGGGTGTGAATGAAGAGAGAGATGTTTGTCCCACCGTCCCGCTGCTCTGCATGCAGCCGCTTCTTCGCCCTCCTCCCTCAGCTGTCTTGGCAGCGCATCCCTCCTGCCCCTGGGAGTCGCAGGCCACACAAGCCAATTAGACACCTGTTGGAGTCAAGTTCAAACAGCGAGGCTTAGAGGATCACGGCAAACGTTTTTGCTGGAGATGACGGCTCCTAAATCACTTTCTAAGGCAGAGAGACAAGCTGCGAGTTAAACGCTGTCATTTCCAGAATGGTGGTTATACCAGAAGTGATGAAGAGCAAGACTGTTGCCAGATTGCACGCTGACTATATATAGTCATGGATGTGCGGCCTCTTTTGGCTCCTCTCCATCGAAGGGGCACATGGGGGTTATGCCCTGCCTCGCTCTTTCTCCAGGGGCTCAAGCTCTTGCTCTAATGGGATCTAGCCTCGAATGTGTTTTATGTTTGGCTTCTGCTCTTAGAGCTCAAAGCAGCGTGTGATGATCCCGAGGTGTGTGTGTGTGTGTGTGTGTGTGTGTGTGTGTGTATCTATCTATATCTATCTATATATATCTATATATATCGATCGATATAGGCCGGTCAGGTTGATTGAGAACAATAATGACAAAAGTGTGCACTGAGAAATCCCGTCGGCCCTTTTAAAGACAAGTCGGAGCACGGAGCTTATGCACCAACCCGTTTTCCAACCCCCGGGGAAGAAACCAAGCTCCCTTTGAGTTATTGCAACCTTATTTCAACTCTGTATCATCAATGTAAAAAAAGGGAGAGAATTCTATTAAGCTGTAGCAGATCTGATCCTGTTGTAGAGAACATTATGTCTTTACAAATGCATTGTGTGTGTTTTAGAAGGTATGTCTGTGCACTTAAATGTCCGTGGTGAGATATTTGTTTGACTCATTTCTTTTCCCTTTTTTTTGTTTTTGTTTTAATCAGAGCTCTTACCCCGTGTGGGAAGACTTCAGTGCCAAGGCCACAAAACTGCACTCTCAACTCAGGTGAGAGAAGTGGTTCCAGTGAACGTTTGAGAAATACAGTTTCTTGTGTAATGTTGACGGACTCCTGATGCGGTCGCGGTGTAGTGAACGTGTGCCAATATATTTACAGGACCACGATTCTGGCAGCGGTGGCCTTCCTAGATGCCTTTCAGAAGGTGGCGGACATGGCTACCAACTCCAGAGGTAAGGACGGGTTTCTGGTAATACAAGCTCTCGCACACCGTGGACTTAAGACTCTGAAAGAAGTGGTAGGGGGGAGGCTCAGAGAAGTGAAAATCTGAGCTTATTGTTTCTTCGGTCTTTAATGAGGTCTGCTGATCTGCTTTGTCACCCTGCTGGTGGCGGCAGACAGGCTGGCCAGCGAGGCAGCTGATTAACACTGATTTATTTCGGGTTGATCATCGAGAGCAGTATGTAGGTCAAAAAACTTGGATGAGCGTGGAAAGGCTCCTGACACACACACACAGACACACAGTCATAATCACACACACGCAGATATTCAAAGAGTGACAGCTGGTAGCCGGCCACCTGACCCCTCGCAGGTCACATGCCAACATGCTTTTAAGCAGTTTGCACTAGCGCAGCCCCCTACTGACCACTTACTGCTGTAGTAACTAAAGAGGCATTTCTTCAGCGGTGTTCACACATTCTCACTAGTTTTACTCCTATAGCTTGTCCAGTAACAGTAGAGGTTATTGCCGTTGCGATCCATCAACCTTGAATGATTCCTGATGCGAGTGCAAGACGAAGCGAGGTAGGCTAGCGTGAACCTGCTAGCAGCTGGCAAGCCTGCTTCAATAAAAACCGAATGGTATGGACCGTGGCAGGGCTGGAGTTCAAAGGAAAAGTGTGTCTACTGTAAAAGATGGCAAAACAGCAGAGTGATAGATGGACCAGAGAGAGAGAGGGGCGCTTTGAGTTTTACAGCTATAGATGCATAAAATCCCTCTAAGTGTGTCACTCATACGCCCACTCCCTCTTCTGCTCCTCTCCCAGGGACATTAACTTTAGGATTAATGTCATCCCTAGGAGTGATGCAGGGAACGCTATGTGATGAGAGACTTTGTAACGAGTGAAGGGGAACTAATGAAACATGCTTTAGGGTGGTGCAGATGAGTAGACTATGATATTTCTAGCGTATAGAATCAAACATTTGATGGTCTCAAAAGTCCCTGTGGTCGGCAATGTCTGTTTGTTGTTGGTCAGTCAAACGCGATTTTGGTCCAGACCGAAATATCTCTCCAGCTATGCGATAGATTGCCCTGAAGTTTAGCACAGATGTCCACAGTGCCCGAATAACTTTGGTGATAACCTTACTTTTAATCTAGCGCCATCTTTAGGTCAAACATTTTCATTCGTCCACCCCTTTTTTATGACCAGTTTCCTGCAAAACTGATGTGATTTGCTTCAGCTTGCCCTGCTACCATTAGCCTTTAACTGGGCCAAAGGGCAGTGTGGCTCTAGGCTCTTGACTGTTGGTCATGCAAAATAAGACGTCTGAAGTCATCACTTTGGGCTCTGGGATTTTGTGATTTGTAATTGTATAACTAGTAAATAACAGTAGATAAATTGATTATGAACTCCAAAACTGGACATTATTTTCTATCCGCAGTGTAAAATGGCCTGACTGTACAGAGCGTTACTGTGTATCGCTCTGCTCGAGCAGTTTTGCGGTAGAAAATAATTTGATGGTTTCAATGTTCAGCCCATATTCATTTGACACAAATTGAATCGATCGGTGTGGTTACTTTTTCCTTTCTTCCAACAGTTGAGCCGTGTTCGTCTTCGCGTGCTCTGAAACCCAGCAGTTAATTTGGCGGAAGGAATGTCGATATTTACTGTAGTGCATTGGGATAACCTTTGAACCCCCACGCTGCAGGCTCCGTGGACATGATTTAGGCAAATTTGCCCTTCCGGCTGCTGCAATGTTAAAACCTATTATCCTGAATATATTGGCATCCAGATGTTGCACTCTTTCCTCTTGCTTTTACACTGACTAACTCAGAGACAGTGGTAGGTAGATAGAGATTACTTTCTCTACATTTCAAAAGTGTTTCTGTGGCTGTTTTTCCCCCTTTCTTGCATGTGTGTGTGTGTGTGTGTGTGTGTGTGTGTGTGTGTGTGTGTGTGT